CAACAGAAACAAATATACTAAAAAGGCCGCGTAAGCAAAACTTTCAGCAGGCTGCACAAGCGACGCTACAGAAGATATTTTATTAAAATTAGCTTCATTTCCCCAAACGATTAATCTCGGAATACCCGAAATGGATGAAGTTAAAGTGGATGTAAGTGGAGAAATGAATGTACCCAAAGAGCAACAAAAGTCTCAATTTGATTTCAAAAGGTTCATACATAAATTAATTACAAATATATAAAGTGGTTTTAATTAAGAAACAACTGATTTTGATTGTGTTAATCATAACCGTAGTTTTTGGACACTGCAAAAAATACCGAGCCCACTGGAAATTGTACAACTAACGCGCAAATACATTCGGCCATGGTCGGAGTTTATGAACACTGCTAACTTTAAGGCTGCAGCGAGTATGCCACGTTTGACGAGTCGATTTATCCGGAACATCACATACTTTCAAAGCAATTACATCTTTATTTTTGTTATACTGATGATATACTGTCTGTAAGAGCTTAGAAATCTGAAACTTTAGGATAAAATCAAAAGTTTACCTTTTTCCTTTGAAGCATTACCTCACCTTTAATCTTACTGGTTTTGGCTGCTGTGGGCTTCGTTAGTCATAGAATTAAGAAGACACAAGCTCCCGTCAGTATTTTTGGACACCAATTATCAACCAATCACCAAATAATGGTTGTGAATATAGCCTCTGCTCCTATATTATTTATAGCAGGTGCAGGCGCGGCACTATTCTGGACACTGGGTTCGTACTCCAGCTTATATTGTCACTCATTTGCACTCACGCATTTGCAATGTAAATATGTTGATTTATATTTTTGTAGGGGCTTCTTGCTTTGTCATCTCTTTGCATGCCATATTCTACAATATCGATGCAATTGTAACTGAAGAGAACGAGGGATTCCTAGCAGAAGTCGTGTAAACAAACCCCGAACATGTAAACACTTAATATACATACTATAAAAAAAATTCAGCCACATGTTTAAAAATATTCATTTACCAAAATTTAATTATTAATAAATGTACATACATACATTTATCTTAATATAAAAACAGATCCGGGGCCTTAACTCCTGAATGATATTTTATAATCATTTAAAATAAACAATATGTACAATTTTGTAATATGAGAGTATGTGCACATACATACATATCTAATGCTAAAAACTCTACATGCCAGACTTATACATTCAGGTTCTGCAATTAACAAACCAGTACAGGCGGCTCTGCAATTTCAACCACTCACTGAATTCAAATTGTATAGTGCTGAAATTCGGGAGTAAATTGCAGAACCTGCTTGGCAGTTAATTTTTATATAAAAAATATTCGCCCTCATTGCGAGAGTTGTGTCGAATGCAAGTCGTTTTTCGAGAGTCGAATCGTATCGAAAATTGCACGTCATTGCCTAAAATTTCCACTCGGCTAGTGTATTAAAATATTGTCGTATCGTACAATTTAGCCTAATTTACGACTACGGAGTGAGGCTGAATATGTATGTACATGCGAACATACAGCCTAAAAACAAAAATTCAACCTGAACTGTAGAACCTTGCAGCATGAGAGCCTAGGAAATTCTTTAATAAAACGAAAGCATAAATTCAAGCCCCTACATAGTATTTGGCATACATCACCCAACTGTTCAGCTATGGAAAAACTAAAAATCGATAGTACTTTTAACGATGATTCCAATAATATAAATATTTTTCGGCGCAATTGAAAATTACAGAAGATATAAGAGGTTAAAATAAAATGTTTAGATATTTTAAAATATTAATATTTTCTAAAGTACATAACCGATTAAAAAAATAATTATGTCAAAATAAAGACAATTAATTTAGTATAAAAACTGTACATGCTTGTTTATATATTGTAAGTCAAAAATATTAAAAAACAAAAAGTTTCATAATTGTTTCATAAAATAACCTATTTTGTAAAAAAAGGCAATAGGCAAAGCTAAAGAAATTTATATTCGGCCCTATCGCGAATTTCACGTGAACAAATATTCACAAAAATTATAAAGCAAAACAAAAAAAAATTTTCCCAATTTGTTTTTGTTTTTCCATACAAAATACATTGGGCGGTAAGAGAAAAGCGTGAATAACTTTCGTCTCGAAGCATTGCGGCAAAATTTTTTTTGCAAATTACTAATAGAACGTACAACCATATTAGCCCAAAACGCGATTTTAAAGCCATTGAGATGTCAGTGATATTTAAGAAATGCTTAATAACTTTTATAAAAAAAAATGTATGGCCAAATAAAAAATAAAAGTGGGGAAAAAACACCATCATTCTCTGTCTAAAATATGAGCCGAATCGTTTTTACCAATCGCGAGAAAACAATTAAAATCTACACAATTTCGAAAAATGTTAATAGCTATAACTTCCAAAATAATTCGATTTTCGAAAAATTGTGAAACTTGTATTTTTCTTTTATCGTTGTGAAGCATAAACAGATAATTGCACAAAAAGCTCGATCTATCTATATAGTAAATTAAGTATATTGGACTATAGTTGGAAGTTATCAGTGCTGATTCAATGCAATACTTTTATTTTTATAGCTAAATTAAAAACATACGTATAGTTCACGAACAACTTATTAATCGGACACAGTTTAAAACCATGTCATGTAGTTTTATTTTCAGTTTGCAAGATTTAAAAAATATACTTATGTATGTATTTATAGGTTTGGTTTTTTCTCTCGGTCGCTTGAGAAGTTTCGGAATGAAAGTAACCTTAGTTTTTTATTTAATGTTGTGGATTTAGGATGATGTTGCACTGATGTTTGAAGTTGATGGTGACTTCGTTATTCGTTGTGCATGTATACCTCGCAATACTCGATTTCCGCACAAGAACGTAAATATTGCTATTGGAATGAGCAAACGCAGTGTTTGGAACATGTTTAAGTTGAACCAAAAAAACTACAAATAACGCCAAAATGCCACCAAAACCCGCATGAAAACCAATTGTACAGGGTGCGAACGAAAAGTTGGAGACGTTTATACCCAGCTTGACCCAGAAAATGAATAGCAACACCAAGGGTGTTAAGCATAAACCGGTGAATACATCTGAAACAAAACGAGGCGGACGTTTTTCGGGAGGACGGAACAAATGTTCTATTTCCGGCAACATGCTACGAATTGCTTGCTTCTTCCTTGTCTCTAAATAAAGATTTAACGATATACTTAGGTAATAAGATATACATATAATACTTACCGTATTCATGGGAAAATTTTAGCTGAACGTTCGCTACGTGCCACTGGAATGAATTTGAGATTGACGCATCGCCAATAATCAAGTAAAGTTCATATTCCCCCGATTTGTAATCGAAATCTGCACCATGTGAACCTACATCCATGTCGAACTTGTAAGCTTTGTTACTATCTTGTTCTGCAACGAATATAATTTCCTCTTTGGTATCTGTATTGGTAAGCCGCACAAATGCCTGATGAACTGAAATTACCTGCGAAATATAAAAATTTATGCCGGTGTAATCGGTATTAATAATTTTTAAGGAACCTTTGTTGTGCCTTCATCTATAAGTACAGATTTTAGCAGCAGTTTTTGGGTTGTGTCAGCCTTTAATGTATGTGGCAAAGTTTGCGGATAGGTGACACTTTGCTTTTTTACTGCTGAGCTCGCGTCTGATTCTGCAACACCAACTTCCAGAGAATGCACTTTTATTCGTCCAAGTACCTTGAATTGCAATGTCTGAGTGTATATGTTGTCCGCGTTGATTTCTGCTAAGTATATGCCACGAGTGGGTTTATAGTTCGATAGCTGTGCTGCATGAACAGTTTTGTCGGATGACTTAGGCACGAACTGAACTTTTTCGGCAAGTACGGTATTATCTTTTTTCAACAATATTTTCCCATAAATATTTTGGGGTGCTGGAGTTAAAGATTTGCCCAACAAATCAACAATCTTTACGTTCAGTACATGATTGTCAGACTGTAATTGACCATTTCCTATCAATTGAATACAGATCGGTGCAATTTTTTCCGCTGTTCCCAAAGTTTTCAATGCTTCAATAAGCAAATGTGCACCTTTAGCCGATTGCACGGATCTACGATTAAGAAAGTAGGTAGCAAACTTCACAGCTTGTTCCGCGTTTAAGGGTGCTGCTTTCTTAAAAGTATCTGTTACTCGAAATATTCCATTTACGACCAAGGCAGTTATGCTAAGACCGCCTTCAAATTGTAGCATTTTTCCATCTACTTCGTCGGCTTGAACGACGGCATCTTCGACACGATCAGCCACAAACGCTGCACTAGGACCCAACTCACTTGCGACGTTGAAAGCATAACCGAAACTAACGATTGAATCATCTTTCTTTAGTAAATCCTGCAGAGATTTTACAAGTTTCGCTGTATTTTGTTCATCAATTTGCACACCCAGAAGTTTGTAGCTCATTACACGAAAATAAATTTCCTGAGTTGAACTAAGTTCGGACTTCAAAGAATTGTACACTTTCGATAATAGTTCTTCCGGCAATTTATCCTTGCATTGTATATTTTTGCTCGCCCCAACGAGGTAAAAATCTTTCTCATAAGCCTACAAAAATACATGTGTAGATATAATTAGTCAGAAGCTTAGATAAATATCTAAATTCAAAAAGCCTGTCTCACATTTAATTTTGAATCCTTATGAAGTGTGCGTAGTTTTGAGCACAAATCCGTCGTTTCCTTTGGATCAGTTAATTTTATATTTAGCGTCGAGTAGTAAATAGCTTGCAGGTCATTCGACATTATTGCATCGTCAAAAACACGCTGCAGACGATTGAGATCATTTTGACCAAGGTGGCTAGGCACGGTACGTGCGGCCATCGTTGTCGAGCCCCATATTAACGCAAAGGTAGCGTATATTAGTACTAAACACATGAAATAATTTACATAATTTAATAATATGATCATTTAATAACCCCAACTTAACATGCAGTTTACTCCCGGTAGAAAATCACACCGCAGGGATACGGCTGCTTGGTCTCCACCGGCATTTTTAGCGCACAAAACTTGGCAAACTGAATATTTATTTCAAAAGAGTAAAACCTAAATATCTTACCTAATTTGTACATAATTATCCAAAACTTCTTTAAAAATCCTAGTTTAGTTATTAATTTTTATAGTAATAAACCATCCGTCCAACGAAAAAACTGCCACTTCTGGCGGTATTCAACGAATAGATTTGACAGACACGTCAACGAACCTTTATGCCAACGAGTGCATTACAACGAAGCAATGTTGCTGACGCTTAACAAACTTCCCTCTGACCTAAAAGAAGATTTCCTTATAGTACATTCAATCTTTACCGCAAACCTGACGTTCCACAAACCTTTGTCAGTTGAAGTAACGTATAAACAAGAATAATTAAATGTTCCCTGAGTGAAAATATTCTATCATTCTTGATTTTTAATATAGTTTTATGGTTATATTACTGTGTTTTATTGGCAAACAGGCTCTTTATTTGCTGTTCTATTGGTTTATTGCCGTTCATCTTTATCATGATTCAATAATTAAAGGTTTGCTCATTATTGACATTAGAGTTTTGACACTCCCTTAGCTCCCTTACAAAAGCTTTGCACATACACACGAACCCACACACAATGCTTTGCTAAGGGAGCCGATTTTGTCAAGAGGGAGCGAGAAAACTGCTTTTTGAGCAAACCTTTTATTATTGAATCAAGGAATAATACAAGGTTCGATAAATTGACAGCTGTCTCTCTCGCACCGCTCCCTTAACCGTGTTGCTTCTTTAAAAATTTACTTGGAAAAAGTGTAGCTTTGGTGTGGAACAGAAGAATAAGCTTTTGTGAAATATGTTTATTTGTATATGCATATGAAGCACATTTAACTGATGAAAACATAAATTGCTTTTAAATTGGATGTTTACATAAATCTGATAGTAGTTTTATTTTAATTTTGAGTCCTTTTGCAGTTTTTATACAGCTAAGTAGCACATAAATTATGTAATTCACGTAGATATATTAATATTTCGTTCAATATTTCGCTTAAAATTCCAGATTTCCTGCAAATACATTAGAATTTACGAAAGGAATTTCAATACTAATTGCCTACTTTGGGTACTTTTCTACTACCATTTTCGCAACAAGGGATTGCATTCTTCCCCTTTCTCTGTCCTTGTCCTTAATTATCTAACCTTGTATTATTGAATCATGCCCTGCCCCTTGGCATCAAAAATAAGCAAACCAAAGCCAAACCAAGTGGTTACGTAATACTTGAATAGTATGCATACATACACGTACATATATATTTACAAATATTATATATGTAAAGTATATAATTATACTTATATATGTGATAGGGAAATTTAAAAGGGCCGAAAATCCAAAATTTTCTATTTTAGAAATTTTTTGTAGTAAATGGCATGCTCTTTTCACTGAAACAAACGGATGTTTTCTACTTTCATTCACAAATTCATTTCAAATATGGACACATTCCCAAAAAAACGTACAAATAAAACTCGGTTGTTGGCTTTAGTCGTTTTTCTCGAACCGTAGGTCGCTTTCAACCACGGAAAATTCATGTAAGGTGGTAATACTGGAGCAGCTGATTTCAAGGCGAATTGTGCTTATTGTCAAAGTTTGTTGTACATTTTTTTTTTTTGTTCAACGTATCCTGTCGCATATGTACAGTGCTTATCCAAATTGCTCCCTTTGTTCTTGCACTGGGCGTGTTATAGTATAACGCTTCTTGAAATCTCTAGTTATATCGCCATTATTATTCCACAATGTTATGGCAGTAGTACTATACAATGGATAAATATTAATCAAACGTTCCTTTTTATCCATGTCCTCCTTCGGAATCTTTTTGCAATACTCATCGAAGTATTCAGTGTTTGTTTTATAAGATTTCACACTCTCCAAGCGATCATTGAAACGTATATATTCATCGTAGAGCTCCTGCCAAAGAAATTGTTCATAGCAGCGCGCCCGTGTGGCTGGAAGTAAAACGAATAGAAGGGTATTGGCTATAGGTTTTCAGGACCTTAGTAATTAACCTACTCGTCGGCTTTTTTAGTTTAGGAGCTTTAAATTTATCTTTCATTTCACTGTACTGATCCTTCGAACACATTTTAGCAGCAGCCTTATGGGCGTAGGTGAGAAATTTATAATAACATTCTTTGAGAATAAACAAATAGCATAGAAACGAATAGTTATAGGCATCCATTGAAAAAACTTGGGTTGCTATGAATGCCAGGAATATGCACAAGGTGGAACAAATGAAAAATACGAACAATTCTTAAAGGAAAAAAAATACGTATGTATGTATGTAAATATATACATAAGTATCTCTAGAGCAGTGTGCAAACAAACGCCTTTTTATTTTAGTGTGGTAGAATCAGCAAAAATATGTGGTAGATTTGAATAAGATGTGGTAGATTTTCCAATTCATACTTTTATTTGGTATATGTACATATCGCACACCGTCGTTAAAAGGGACACAACTCAAAAATTAGATGGGAAAATATGATGCTTGTGTATCGTACAGATTCAACGCAATTGATGCAAAAACAAGTATATGCAACATTAGTTTCCTAGTTAGAGAATATAATCATGAAGAAAAAAATATTTTGATTAATTTGAGAAAAATCCTTGTTCCTCTTTTGGAGATGGTATTCGAAGTGTATGTATGTATATCGTATACACATAGTACCTAAACTAATATTCCACTGGAAATTTCCAGCACTGCTACAATTTAAGCTGAAATTAGTCGAGAACGCAGAACGTATACTTAAACGCAATCTGTATACGCAGAATTTTGTCGATTACTGGAGCCCTCAGTGTTGCTTACTACACTGTTGCCACTCATCAATGCCTTTTCATAAACTTACCCTTTCAACTCCAATTTTTCGTGCTATAATAGTTTGTAGCTAAATATAAACTACTTAGTTTTCGACAAAAACCTTATTCAATAGTAAATTTCAAATATTTGAAACATATTTTGAATAGGAACTTATAACTTTTTTACCATCTGTAAAACTGATGAGTGGCAACCATCTAAAGAAGGAGAAATCAGCTAACACGGAAAAATCTAAATTCCGCAGATTTCTGCGCTACGGGCTACAACTACAGAAAAATTCTGCGGTGTTGAGTTTTCATTAAAAAGATATAAGTTCCTACTCAAAATATGTTTAAAATATTTGAAATTTACTATTGAATAAGGTTTTTGTTGAAAACTAAGTAGTTTATATTTAGCTAAAATCTACTATAGCACGAAAAATTGTAGTTGAAAGGGTAAGTTTGTGAAAAGGCATTGATGAGTGGCAACAGTGTAGTAAGCAACACTGAGGGCTCCAGTAATCGACAAAATTCTGCGTATACAGACTGCGTTTAAGTATACGTTCTGCGTTCTCGACTAATTTCAGCTTTAGGAAAACAGCTGCTAAAACTGTGCGAGTTCGTTTGATAACCTAAATTGTTTGTTTTGGAATTTGAATTTGTTTGCTTTTAATAAATATGAAATATGAATAATTTTGTGGTAGCTTTGGGACTATTTAACAATGATAAAATCGCCTCATTCGCAACGGAATGTTTACCGAATGAGGACGCAAGATAGAAAAATCGAAGAAAACCAAACCCTTTAACATTGTGAACCGGAAGAAAACTAAAACTCTTTGCTTGAACGAGTCATGTTTGCATGGTGTATGGCGAAATGGGAAAAGTTGGTTTGAAGAATGTTTGGCAAAACGCTTATGTGGTGTATTTCGCTTTATAAAACTTCGGAAAGCTTTTTGTTCAAAAATATGCAGAGCGATTTAACAACTATCTTGTGTAAAACATGGTTGCATTTGTTATCTGCAAATATATAAAGAGAAAATTCCTCAAAATAAAAATCATCAAAAAATACTCAAGCGCACACGAAATTCCTCACGGTTTGAGGAATTACTCACAAAGTGGCAACACTGGTACCCATAATCGATGATAGTTTCACTCGGCAAGCTTCGTTGGTCTTAAAACTAAGGCTAACGAAGTTATGTATGTATCAGTGTTGCCACAGACAAATTTTTTTTCCTACCAAAACTTCCTACCAAATTCAACCAGAACCTACCAAAACTTTATTTAAGTTTTAATATTTTTTTGTATGTCAAGTTTATTAAAAATGTAAATAACATAACATTTAGAAAAACTAAAACACAGCTAGTACAATAAAAACAAATTAACTACGTATAAGAATTCATTTTACTCTACAGACTTACACAAATGTTTGTATCGTTACACATACATATTATTATTGTTACTATTATTACGTCGGGGAGAAACGCGCTGCGACCTAAGAAGATCTATTGCTCTTAACCCTAATTGTAATCACTCCAACCTTACTCTCTTTAAGAAGTGAGGCATGCAAGTGCATTTGGGCTCACCGCTTTGCGAGACAGTCAGATTTAATTGTCTTCCAACCCTTCATGTCCCAGAACCCATCACAGCGTTACGTTATTGTGAGCTTCCAAGTGGTTCAAAAAAGTTTTACAGCTTTCCACAAGCCTGCTGCCGTTTTAGAAGAGTCCAAGACCTTTAACCTGCCTGACTATCCGACATAATATTTAATTTGATCCGTCGGTATACCATGCGTAGGACCTTTCGTCAATCATAGTTACTATCACTTCACAGAAGTCCCCTTCAGGAATTGTTACCTTGTAGGGTCCAAATGACCCCAAAGATCCCAAATTTTCTTGCTGATCATATTGGGCAGTCGTAGGGCACCTCAGCAGCCCTCTTTTTCAAACAAAATAGACAAAGGAGGAATGCCTGTAATGACACCAAGGGCATCCGTTGGACAGGTGCCCATAGCTCCTGTACCGTCGGTGCAGCTTGCTACAGAAGGATCACACCTTTACTTGCGTTGCTTTTGGTCACCAGGATACATATTTTATATTTTTCGCAAATAACTATTATTGTCGCGGAACCTACCAAAATCCAATCTAGCCTACCAACCTTTCAAAGGGGAAAAACCGTACCAGTTTTGATAGGAAAAGCCCTTGTTTGGCTACACTGGTATCCATGTATATTCCAAATATTTGGCACAATTTTTCAATTGCTCAAAGGCGGAGCGGGGTATATTTGCTAGTAAGGGTTAAAGCTAGTAAACATTTATTTTAGTATATCTTCCATTGTAAACACAAATTACTCTACTAAAATTTTCACTCCACATACAATAATACAATTACGATTCGTACCAGGACTTCTTCATCCAGTGTGACTGTTTACAAGGCTCGTTCAGCACAACGAATGACTCATCGTTGGCTTTTTGATTCGACATGGAATATCCCGTTCTGTCCTTTCCCACAGTTGATGTGTTCTGAAGCATAGATGCACGCCTGCCAAATTTTGCTGCCTTTTTTGTTGCACAACCCACAACATTTTCAAAACTCGGTGGTGCACCCGGACCATGATGACAACCAATAGTTGCTTGGCGATGGCGGGAAGTACGTCGCTTCTGCAAATATGACGACTTACCGGGTACATCCGTTGACGATTCGGAACTTTTGCGTTGGGTTGCGATGGACACATATTTAGTGTTGGGCACTGAACCAACAACCTTTTCTCCTTTCTCCTCCTTGGGTTCGCGTGGGGGAGTACGTTCGCGCAGCTGATATTGGTAATTAGCGCGACGATATTCCGGCGTTGTGGTGATGTCTGTAATTGGGGAATTTTCAATATACTCCTTTCGTTTTGGGGAATACGATTTAAATTTGCGACGTGCAGATTTGGGACTTTTAATAAGCGTCGTGTTGGACGTAGTTGATGATGAATTTGGCAGACGAAATGTGGAAGCTGGTTTTCGTATGATTGGCCGTGAACGTGGGAAATCCAAAAAAGTGTTGCGATATTCGGGGTTGAATTCGATTTTACCTTTGAGGCGTAAATATGGTTCCCGACATTTACCACGTTCTGGCATCTGTGTAATCTTCGGATCACGAAAGCTTTCGTAATATTCTGGAATATCTTTCGAAAATTGTCCGTTTGGATGCAGATGGTCAGGGATTTTAATTGCTTTTTCTTTCGATACACTTTTCGGTGGTTCACGAAATTTCTCCCGATATTCTGGTAATTTAGTATCATCATTTGCCTTTTCTACTATTTCAGCACCAGATACTCGTAAATTGTCAACTTTTTTTATTGGTGCGCTTTTCGAATAATTGTCATACATTTTGAAACAGTCTTGATATTCTGGCACACCCCCAAATTTACCTTGTATTTTTATATGAGATATTTGTGGTATGGAGTGTGCTTTTTCGATGGGAAATTGTACGAATTGGCGTTTGTACTCAGATGGCGCGGTGTTGTATTTATTATCTCCAACGTATTGCTGAAGGCGACTTTTCTGAAGGTTGCGAGCGGCAAGTTCACGTAAACTTTTATCATTTGCCAGTTTTTGGCAGGAAGGAACCTCTTGAACGGTTGGATGAATTTTGTTTTCTACTGGGTCAGGATCGAGGCGAAATGCTTCACGTGGCAGTATTTTTGTAGTTCGATCCACCATCGGATATGAAATGTACGATGAACGATACTCAGGCTCCATACTTATTTCACCAGACGCAAACAAGTTTTTGGAGTTTCTTACAGAAGTTGAACGACAGCTAACGGTGAAAATATAAAAGAAAAAAAAAAACGTTAGCTCATAATTACATACTTATGTATGTATGTAAATATTTGTATATGCGTACGCATGTATGTATATATCGTACTCCTAATTCTAAACAGCGATCAAATAAAAATAGGACGATTTTTTTGCATAAAGGTACTCGTAAACGATGGGAGTAATTCATTATGAGAGTAATTAATCATGAGAGTGCCGCCATATTGCGGTGAGTACTCTAATGGGCGTTTAATCGCAAATTGATTCTCACTGTTATTTTATTCTCAAGAGAACATTTTCGGTAAGAAAACTCTCATTCATTCTTATGTCTATTTACATGGGGAGCTCTCATGTGGTCATGTGTGAGAATAAAATGTGTAATATCACCAAAATATGCTCTTAAATATGCTTATTCATTGAGGGTATATCTATTTTTTACAATATTTTTATTCTGTAATCTCGAAATTACAATCTTTAAATTATCAATCTTTTGGCATTGCAACCACCAAAATAAAACAGGTTTATTGTTTAATCGGAATTACTGGTTCGGTCGGTCGCGCGTTAATCGTTCATACATATATGTACATAAAAACCTACATGCATACTAGAGATGCCCTTTTTAAATCGAAGATCAATTAATCGAGCCCTTCCGATTCGATTTTTTAGTTCCGATTCGATCCGTGAATCGATTCAAAAAATTCTAGAATCGAAATTCGATTTTTCCTAAAATTATTCATATTGCCGTACAAAATCTATACAATTTTAAAGGAATTTGAATTTGAAGCTGGTACAAGAAAATAATGGGACCGGACACCTGTCTCCTTTTCAGCTTGAGAGAGAGCAAAGACCAAAGATTTCAGTGATCTGCCTCTCTTTCTACTCCGACTACAGAGCCCCTCAGGGAAGCCTCTTAAAAATAACTATATAAAATTATGGCTAACAGCATAAACTCTGAAAATTGGAATTCCAAACTTTGTGCAAATTTTCATAAAAATTTTAGTATGTATGCAAATTTGTAGCACACTTTTTCCTAAAAGGGCAATTAAGAAGTGAAATAGAGTTACATGATATGTATATTTTGAATACATACATATGTATGTACATAATTGCTTGTGTCTGCCTAATTTACAGTCTTTATTTAACTATTTAGAATTACGTTCTTTGAAAATGAAACGATAATTCTATCTGTGTGTCAGATGGAAATAGAAACATTAGGTTTGTATAGTAACTTATCCAGTAAAACATTGCAGCGAGAGCGTAAAAGCAAAATAGAGCGTAAAATTGAGAAAAAGAGAAAACTAGCAGAAAAAGTTATTGAACGCAAAACCAGTATAAACTTGCAAGTGAATAGTTGTTGCACCCTTTTGATATTCTGCTGTAATCATTTTACTATTTATAAATCAGTTTTAAACTCTTTGCTTTACACACAAGCACTTACACAATCTAGTACATCATTAATATTTTGATTTCCACTCATTTTAGTTTTGTTTGTGCTAAACCAATTCAACAAATGGCGGCTTTTGACATTTATTCTTCTTCTTCTTCTGCTAGCTAATTTCTGCTAGTAAAAATTTCACTAGCAAGAATTTGCAGCTCTCCCGTGTTGTTACGCTCTTGATTCAGTGCTCTCTTGTAAATTTTTTGGGTTATCATACACTTTTCCAGTAAAAATTTGCAGGTTCCAGTACAAATTAGTACTGACTATTGGTTACTATACAAACCTATTTCTATTTCGTATGTATGTGCATCTGCTTTGTACAGAAGCCAATCCAATTTTTACACGATATGTTTGCATTTCCATATGTAAAAAGTGCAAATACATATATTGTAAGAAAACTCTTTAGCGAAAATGAAGAAAACCTCCGTATTGAAAAAAAATCTATATAATGCAGTAGGCATTACATGAGGCAAATTTTATTGATTATGATCTCTTCTTCTTCTGGTACTTATGTACAAACAAAGGACAAAATTTATAATACCATTTCATATTCATTAAAGGTATAGAAATGCGAGAATAAGTTGAAATAGCATATCTGATAGGTGGCAAACTTCACATGTAGTCCGTTATTAGAGGGTGTATAAAATAAAGTTGGCGCCATTCGCGGACCGTTAACCCTCCTTCGTCGAATTGGCAGCATTCACCTATTCGCTGACATCATAAAATTCCTTTTCGCATAGGAATGCAACTTAAATTTTCTAATTGTACCTACATATTTGTATTTTTATATGTATGTATACATTTTTGATAGTGGCTGGTCAAACTCTTCCTTCGGTAACATGTCTACTTCTGGACCAGTGTTGATAATTGCATTTTCCAAATTTCGTATGAAAATGTAACTCAACTTGCACTTTTTGTCTCTAAATTGTATCAAATTTTGATTCCTATTATTTTTCTAATATTTAGTTATTGTGTACAACTTGTATTTAATTACACTGGATCACAAATTTTAGTCTTGTTGTCGTTCTCCAGACGCCCCTCTCTCACTTCTATGTAGTGTTGCTCGGGGATTCCGAAAATCGAGTTAATTCTTTTTCTATGGATACGTTTTCGGGATATTTGCAATTTACCGTTATTCAGCTTAAAACAAAAAGTGGTTCCACTTAATCACGTATATCTTACGAACCAATTTAACAATCATAATATGAAAATAAAGCTAATAAAATTTTCCATAAACCTATATACATTACTTTCCGATAGGAGTCATAGTTTCTGACAAATTAGTTAATCATTCCAACTTTTTTATTTTTTAATGAAAAAAATCCAACTTTAACACAAGAAAAATTTAAAAAATAACAGGTTTTGTCCAAATTTTTGCATCTGTGCTGAAGCCTGTTCTGTTATAAAAAATAAATCAAGTTACTACTGAAGAAAATCGATATATAAATAAAGAAATAATAGTGTTCAAATGAAAGTACGCAAAGATTTTTTTGTATGAAACATGAGCACAAAGCGCGTTACTCAGGTGTACATGGCGGATGAGTAACCAAATTAGACGAATATGTTAACTTTTAAACATTTTTCGCTATTTGGAGCGACATTTTTTCAATTTGAATCGTAATATCTCCACAACAACAAGAGTTTTCCCAGACATAAGCTATATACCAAATGAAAGCCAAGGTTTTGGGCTTAGGGATGCAAACGATGCATCGATGTTTTTGAAACATCGATAATATCGGTTCAATTTTCGATGTTTGCCATCGATGTTTACAATATACTAACATCGCGAAATTGACAATATATCGATGGAAGTTTTACCGATGGTTTAAACATCGACTTTAAGGATTCTCTCCGACTTTCTTTCGGTATGTTTGGCTGACCTTAAACTTATTATTCATTCAGAATTTTTTTGTTATTTATGGCCTTATAACATTTATATACATAAATTTTATTGAGCTTGAGGCCGTTTTTTATGAAAAATGTTGTGGAAAAGCATCAATAATTTAAAAAGGTAAGAAGTTATAGCTGCTATTTCGGAGATCACCACATCTCTGAGTGACCGGGGTAAAAGAAGTCTGATTAGTAGATGTGGTGACCTCCCAAATAGCAGCTATAACTTCTTTCTTTCCCACAACATTTTTCATAAAAAACGACCCCAAGCTCAATAAAAATGTTGGATTCACTGAATGCTAATAACCTAGCCGTTAAAGCAGAACCAAACACACCTTAGAATTTTAACAAGATCAGGCCTAGGATCAGTGTTGCCATTTTAGCCGTTTTCCGGCTAGATTTAGCCGGTTGCGATAGCAAACAGCCGGAGAAATTTCGATTTAGCCGGCAGCCGATTTGTTAGCCGTTTTACAGAAAAAAATTAGCCGTTTTTAGCCGATTTTGCTATTTGCCTTGTTTTCTTAAATTTCAAATAGGTATATATGCTTCCATTTTTGACTAAGCGACCCGAAATCTGTTAGAAATGACTACTAGCCTTATCGTGGAGAAAATTTTCATGTCAGGCAGGGTTGTATGAAATTGGGCCGATTTCGCTTATTTTTATTTGAAATAAAATAAAATGATTGTTATAAATGTCTTAATTTTAAGTGTGAAGTTTTATTCGCAAACTTAGAAAATAAGAAATTGTTTCGCTGTTAAGACACTTAAGATGCGTTTGTGTTTGGATTTAGTGCGAACAAAAGAACAAATATTACATGTAGATATTGTCTTCCCGGATAGCGCATATTCAATTCTGCCTAAATTACAAAACATCATTTTTGCACACTCACAAAGGTTTAAGGTAAGGGGAAAATTGATATTTTCAAGCACTATGTACACATATGTATTTTTTTAAACAAACTTTTTTGCTGAGAACTTATTTAAATTCCAAAAACCGAATGCCAACTTGAATTAAAGGAGCCAACACTGAACTGAGTTAAAATGAAAATAAAAGAGCACAAATTTCTATGTAAAGCAAAACTCTTTGGGAATCCTACGAGACATCTGCCGGTCATATGACCGGTCATCTAAATCGGAGATCTGCAGTTTTTTGGGATCATATTTTGCATCAGAATTGAAGGGATTTCTGAAAAATCTCACCAGTTCTTTTGTGTGACTGTGATTTTGCGTCCCTTGTCAACATATGGCTTCGGTTGAAGTTAACTTAAGGTCGTTGTTTTACTGCCTTAAAATTGAAGGGAAATCTTTACAGCGTTTTTTATAAGTATTGGTTTCTATTTGAGTGTGTTGAGAATCGGTCAGTCTGAAAAGGCCTTGTAGGGAAGACAATAGGTAGTAAGAAAAAATGCTCCCAAATTCTCTCTCATGTAGAGAAATTTGCAATTTTCTGTACGAACGAAAATTTGCAAGTTTTTCTGCCAAATAGTGTCCACGGTTGCATTTCAAACAAAAGAAATTTATATAGAATTTTTAAGATTCTTTCAGGGGGCCAAAAAACAGGATCTACGTGTATATATTTTGTCAGTCCGACTTTCTTCAACATACGTTTCAATTTCTTTGTCGGGTTTACTATATCGACTCTGGTTGAGATTGCATTCCGATTAAGA